TAGTCATGTACCACTGCGCCTGACTTTTTTGTCTAGATGGTGTCTCACTTTTTGCTTGGGTTGGCCTTGAACTGTGATCTTCCTGATCTTTCCCACCTAAGTAGCTGGGACTACAGATGGGTATCACCATGCTTAGCCCTTTTTTAGTTTTTTTTTTTCCTTTTTTAGTTGTTTTGATTGAATCAGTATTCAAAGAGATTGACATGTTGCATTTGGTTGATTTTTCTTAAGGCTCTTCCAGTTTCCTTCTCTTCCGTCTTTTTTAACTTTATGCCTTTGCTGTTTTCTGTTATTTCCCCTAGTAGCTCAGCTTTGACTATGTCCTCATGGTGTCTTCTAGCATTTTCCTCTGCCCCCATATTGCCTGCAAACTTGTAATTAGATCTAGGGTCTGATTAAATTCAGTTAAGATTCAGCTTATTTTCTTTTTTTTCTCCAGATATGGATCACAGCAGGAGGCACATAAAGTTTGGTGTCTCGTCTCTGTTTGTGTTAAGATTGATCAGTGAATTCTGGTGTTAACAGTTTGATCAGAAAGTTGATTATCAGCCTTTTAGTAGCCATTGATAATCACTGACTAGACCCATTTCCATTAGTTGCTATAAAATGGTAATTTCCTAATTCTATCATTTTTCCTCCTTAGCTGTGATTTTTTTTTAGCTGAAACTACTCTTTTATTGAAGTGAACATCATAGTAAATAGAATTTGCCACTTCAAGGTGAATAATTCAGCCTTTAGTTCATTCTCAGTGTTGTACAGTCACTACCTCTTTCAAGTTCCAAACAAGAAGCTGTGCTTTTTATGTGAATTTTCTCAGCACTTTGTTACCCTAAAATACATTGCACTCAAGAAAAGCTTGATAGCCAGTGTGGTGGTGCACGCCTGTAATTCCAGCTATATGACATGTGCGGGCAGGAGGATCTTGAGTTTGAGCCAGCTTGGCAAAGGTAGTGAGACCCTGTCTGAAAACAAATGGGCTGGGGATGGTTCAAGTGGTAGAGTGCTTGTCTAGCAAGCTCAAGGCTCTGGGTTTAATATCCAGTACCTCACAAAAAAAGCTTAATAAAAACTGGGTTCTGACCTCCAGAGCTGATGAGCTGTCATGCACAAGCGAGTGCATGTTTTAGGAGTGTCACTGCGGACCTGTGGCTGCAATGCATGTGTGTTTCAGTCTGTGGGTGTCTGCTCAGATTGTCCTGTTTCTGGGCTGCGAGCCTATTCAGTTTGTCAACAGTATCCTTTTGACATGATTTTAGTAAATTTTGAGAATGTCTTTGTATGTAACAAAGTATCTCAGGCTCATTTTGACTCTGCTCTTGGGGAACTCTGATTGTCCAGGTGCTAGGAAGTCCTCATTGCTACTCAGTTGTCAGGGATAGGAAATACAGGAAAAATCATGGGTTTATAGTGATACTTCAAATTCAGGTTAAAGGGTTTATATGACTCTTCTTTGATTTGTGTATTTTGATATTTGTGTAAATTTTAAGTTAAAAATCATGCTTTCTAATGAAATAGCAAGTAGTTTTCAAGTGGTTTTAGAATATCAGTATTATTTCCACTTTTATAAGATAATTGAATGTGGTTTAAAACTTTTATGGTTCTTTTCATCTGGGATTTATTCTACTAGGGATGTATAGTTGCAATATTGTGTTTTAAAGTCAGTAGAATAATTCTGTGTGTGGCTATGCTATCAAATTTTATAGAAAGTTCCTTTCAGTTTCTTTGAATTGTTTTTTATGGCTTGCTTTTTTTCTTTTTGATTTAGCTTTTTTCTTAATTGTATAAAACATTGTTATGGTTCTACTGTCAAAACAGGATACATTCAGAGATGCCTACTTTCATTTTACTTTTCTTGTTCTCCCTTTCCTTGAATATTTTATTATCAAATAAAATGTCTTCATTATTTTCAGTTTATCTTTACATTGTTTTTTGGTGGAAAATTCAAGAAAGTTTATGTATAAATACACATATACATATACACATATTTATATGCATACACATGTGAATAAATATATCCATCTCCTTATACATATTCTTCTGCCCCTTGCTTTTTAACAAAATACCACTTAAATATTGAGGAGGTCCAGTTGCTCCAAAGGAGTGTATAGAGATCTTCATTCCTATTTTTATAGCTGCACTTAATTCATTGAGTTTATAAGCTGTAACATCCAGTCTCCGATTGACAAATACTTGCGTTGTGTCCAGTCTTTGCTATTGTAAATAGTGCTGTTATGGATACCTTTATGCATGAATCTGTTTTGTCATATTTTACTGTCTTATAATTAAGATAGCTTCCTAGACATAGGAATAGGTTCAAAGTAGGTAGATTACAGGGCAGATGTCTTCAGAGATAAGTTAAAAACAGTTTCAACCTGGTGGCAAGTGCTGCAGTAAGGTTCTATCATGTTTTTAAATTAATGACCTATTGTCTCTGTCTCCTTTTTCTCTCGATGATTAAGGGAAAGGAGGCTGAGAGTGGGAGTAGGTTTTGAGAGTGGTTTTTAAGAAGGAACAGAGTATGTATAAAGATTCGAAGGGCAGAGATGTGAAGTTGTTTCCGTCTTTCATATATCAGAAAACTTAATTTTCAGAAGCAGAATTACTTGGGCAGTTGGGTATAAGAGAACATTTTTTACAGAGCCTTAATTTTGTACAATTATTTCTTTAAAGGCTATTCCATTGTCACTAGCAATGGAATAGTTGGATTTCACTATACTCTTTGCTGACACCAGATTGTTCTGTTTAAACTTTTGTAACTTGGCAAACAATGAAATCTAGTCATACTTCAGTTTGCATTTGATGCCTTAATGATTGTTTCTGCTTCTGGGAGTTCTTTGTATAAATCAGATGTTAACTACTATTTTGACATTAAATATTTTGATTGCTTTTTTGGTGCTTTCTTTTATTGCTTAGAAGTTAGGAAAGTCTTTTTCCGTCCAAAGGTTTGGTAAATAATTCTAGTTTCTTTTAGATTATCAATGGCTTAACTCCTCCTTGGAATATATGGAATAAGTGAAGCTCCACTCTACCAGTTTGGTAATCACTTTTCATAGCACCAAGTTGTTTAATGATGCATCCTCCAAAATAAATTATGTAATATGTTCCATTGATCTGTCTATTCTTATATGTATTTTTAACAACTCTATAATTTGGTATCAAACAAATCCTTTTTTCTTGTTTTCTGGAGAGTGCTAAATGCAGAGCATCTTGTCTGAGAGACAACTGAAATGATAGTATGCCAGCGTGTGCCTACAATGAACTTTAGCAATTATATAGTCCAGTAGTTTTTCGTTTCATGAAGAGAAAGGGAGGATGCTTATCAGAACCATGTTGGGGAGGGAGTTCATGTATTTTGGCAACATATGCTCAATAGTCATATTATATTTTGGGTTGCAGTAGTTTGAAGTGGGAAGCCATAGAATTTTTTAAAAGTATTTGTGACCTTTCCTTCCTTTGACCTTTAAAAACAGTGACAAAGACAACCTTTCCTTTTTGCAGTTGAAGTAATAGATTTGTTTGAGATTGTATTTCTTACTAATGGTAGAGGTCGGTAGAGTTCTCCTTTCATATAGATCCCCCTATTTTAGTACTAATAAAATTTAAAGTACAGTTCTAGATGATCCTCATCTTTTTAATACTTGTTTTAGCTAGTTTTCAGATTTGTTCAAAGATGTATCAGCTCCCTAGTATAAATGCTGAAATCTTTATACAAATGTTTTACAGTATTTCTCTGGCCTGACTTTCTCTCCAGGTTTGATTAATAATTGACATCTTTTTAAGGAAAGAGCTGAGTTAAGGTTTTCTCCTCTCTTCCTACTCAGGGCTTAGCAATATTGGGAGCAACTCTAATGCGGCTTTTCTGCTTTGCCTTCTTAATCTAGTATGTGGGAAAGTTTAGGAAGTAGGGGGACGGCTATATTCAGGAGGCAGAAGGACTCTTGAGTATGGGAGCCACCGTGATTATGTGGCTTAATCTTCAAGGACAAAGAACGATCAGGTAACATATGGGAGTAGTAAAAATATGCAGTGTTGCCTTACGTAGCACCAGCTCTCCTCAAGTACAGTCTTTTGTTAAGCTTTTGCCCCACCTCCCCCAACTCTTCTAAATTAAGTCTCTATACTCAGCTGTTACCAATTGTATATGTAAATAGTCTTTTGAATATAAAATTATACCTAATGAATGTGTTAATTATTCTTGTCTCACTCTGGATAGACCAAACTAATATCAACCCAAGATAAGATTCAAGTGCTGTGAAGAAAAGGAGAATAGTTAGCAAATTCACAAATTCTGCATTTACTTATGTGTCTATCCCTGTAGTTGTCTTGATGTACATAAATTTCTACAAATTTCATATTAAACATTTTAAAGTCATTTTCTGAGTTAGGGTCTGGGGGTCAATAAAAATAAAACTAGCTCACATTTGCTCAGTGCAGAGTAACAGCCTTCTGAGGAAGAGTCTGTTATTGGCTCCATTTTAGAAATGGGGTGACTGAGGAATAAGGAAGTTAGGGGTGAGTTAGTAGAATTTTAACTTACTTTAAAATGTGCAAGCAAACATGTTCTACTATACTTAGCTCTTAAAAGAATATTTCACAAAGTTTTGTAATGTTCATTTTTATTTTACAACTATTTAGCTGTTGTATTTTAATATTTTATTATTAATATAAAATATCATTTGGCTAGTTCCCCCATTCCTCAAAATATTTTGTCATGCAGTTTATTTTAGTGCTTTGGTTCTTAAAGAGATGAAAGTATTTTGGCCTTATATGCTTAGGCTTGCTGCACAGTTTGTGGATGACTTGCTTTGTCTCTAGACTTGGGTCCAGGGCTAACTTTGTAAGTTCTTTAGTCTTGAAAAACAATAAGTATTTTTGTTTCCAGTAAGATTTAAAAACATCTTGCCAATGGTTGATTTGTAGTTCAGAAATAAAAATTTAGAGAAACACTTTTTCACTTCTGAAGCATGAAAAGATTTCATTTCTTTATTTTCTTATTGCAGAAATGTGGACAACCAGTTTCCTGGGCAAGCTGCTGTACCTGGATTCCCAGTGTATCCTGCTTTCAGTCCACTGCAGATGCTGTGGTGGCAGCAGGTGTACGCCCATCAGTACTATATGCAATAGTGAGTAATCCAAGCTCAGTTTCAGTTCACTCACTGTGCTGTGTGCTTTAGTTTCTGTTTTAGCCAAAGGAAGTTGATCTTAGATTTCATTTGCTGATGTATTTAACTGGTTATTTAGTATTATCATGAGAAGGAATTCACAAACATCTCAGCAGATACTTTAAATTATTTAGCTAAAGAAAAAAGCATTTACTTCCATTTCGTATTAACTAAACCTGCTCTTGGCTCCTTCCTCTCTCCCCTAATTACATTTAGCAGCATTGAGATGCTTTCTTTAATATAATATTCTATAAGTTCAAGAGAGGACTTATGAGAGTTTCACTGGAAGCCTTCAAATCTACATGAAGAGACAAAGTCAAATGAAAAAGGGAGTAGAGGTCATGCACTGGTGGCTTACGCTTGTAATCCTAGCTGCTCAGGAGGCAGAGATCAGGAGGAACATGGTTCAAAGCCAGCCTGGGCAATAGTTCATGAGACCCTATCTCAAAAATCCTATTACAAAAAAGGGTTGGTGGAGTGGCTCAAATTGTAGGCTCTGAGTTCAAACCTCAGTACTGCCAAAAAAAAAAAAAAAGAAAAGAGGGAGTAGAAAGAGCCACATCAAGGAGGCCAGAAAATGTGTAGGGCTCAGGAGTGATAAATGGCCACCTGACTGGCCAGCGTGGGACAGTGAGTAATTTCTCAACCTTATTCTCTGCTCTTCCTCTGTCCTCATGTAACAATGACTAGCCCCAGTTTTCCTTCTTCTAAATAGCAACATTCCTCACTTCGTTTGAAAGATGTTTATGTGCCTTGTGGCCCTTATAGTGCAGGGAGGAGAGGACTCAGACCTATCTTTTCAGTCTTCTGTGGCTGTAGTTGTTGGCTCTTCATGAGTGACTCCCAGTTCTTCATCTCTCAAGCTTCATCCTGTATCTCCACTTATTGTGGGAAGATTTGCATGGTGAAATTACTCTTCCCTCCAAATTCAGTACATCTAAAATTTGGCTTCTTCGTGCTCTTTAAGTGCCTTTTCTTCCTGACTTCTTTGTTTGTGACACCTCCTCTATTAATTGCTGTGCACACCTGAATCAACTTGGATTCTGGCTTCTGTTATCCCTGAACTCAGTAACTCAGAAAAATGAGATAATAGAACTTCAGTTTTTCTCCTGTGACCTCCTTCCAGAAATTTCCCCAGATCTTTTCTCATTTTAAATCTAGTTTACTTCAATACTCTTTTCTCATTTAGGGCTCCTATTATCACAAATTTCTGCCAGGTTAACTTTATAAACACATAATTGAATTAGTTATTCCTCTCCCAAGATGTCTGTTGACTTTCTTGCCTCCAGTGTGAAGGCTATATCCTTGTCCTTCCTTAAGCCCTTCTCCCTAAAATAACCCGCTTTATGATCCTCACATGCTAGTGTTTTCTTTCATGAGCACTTGGCTTCAGGTAGGCCATTTACTTTACCTGTTGCTATGGTAATAGTTATCATTTGGGTGACTACTTTGTGCTCAGATTTCTGCTGGATGCCTTTGTCTTGTTTGTAGACCTCATGAAAACCATGTAAGGCAATGAGGCTTATTGTATCTTGTTATTAAGTCATTTTATGTACATCATTTAACTTCTGAGCCTCATGTTCTCACCTTTAAAGTAAAAACTCACTCATGTATCAGAATAGCCATGAGATGGGAAGTGTATTGGAAACTAAAAATCCCTATACAGACACAAAGTATTAGCATACGGGCTTAAATAGGCATTTGTAACTTGGGAAACATTTACTTAATTTTCTTTTCCTATTTTTTTTGGTGGGGCTGGGGGCATTTGAACTCAGAGCTTCATACTTGCAAAGCAGGTGCTCTACTGCCTGAGCTACACCTCTGGTCCATTTGCTTTGGTTATTTTGGGATAGGGGTCTCTTTCATTATTTGCCCTGGCTGGCCTTGAACCACAATCATCCTGATTTATCCTCTCAGGTGGCTAGGATTACAAACTTGAGCCACTGATGCCCTACTGTTTTGCTGTCTTGATTATCAACACTTATAAAATCATGTAAATCTTATTCTTCAACTTTCCCCCTTCCTGGGTAATTTAAAAGCGAATATCAGCTCTATTATCCTTTCATTAGGAACCTCTTACAGAAAATTGATTTTGATTTGTAAGTAATCATAACTATGTGTTAGGACCATAGTTCTTCCTAAGTTGACAAGGATCAGTGGTTCTCAGGTAGAGTTCTCAAAAATAAGTTTTGGGGTTAAGGAGTAGTTGTCCGGGAGGTCTTTAATATTTTAAAATAGTAGCCCAAGTCATTTATCACAAATGTACACACAGGGTAACAAATACATCTTCAGATAATTTTTCAAAGTATGTGTCTGAGGGAAAGTTGGTGGGCTTGGAGGTATTCATCCCACATAGAATAGCAAGAGGGGCCATTAGTGAAATGATTTGGATCCATCTGTTGTTAGAGTATAAGTAATTTACTTAAAGAGAGAAAAGAGTGATGAACATGACTGTTCTTAATTTCTTTCTGCTCTCCCCTGCCATCCTAGACTATCAGGCTGAGAGCATTCTTTCCTGAGCTGTACACACTCTCAGTCTTGACTCTACTTTTCACTGGTTAGTGCTTGCCTAAGAAATGTGGAGCAGGAATTGTCATATTCCATATTAGGTTTATGAAAATTATAGAACTCCCTAGGAAGTTGTTTTAAAAAAACAGTATCATGATTCTTTTTCTCTTTTTAATGTTGTTGAATATTTCAGTCAAGCTGCAGTTTCAGCTCAGGCCACATCAAGTGCCAACCCAGCCCCGCCTACTGCATCACAGCCTTTAAATTTGGCACATGTTCCTGGAGAAGAACCCCCACCAGCTCCAAACCTAGCGGCCCAAGAGAATCGACCAGTCAATGAGAATGTTCAGATGAATGCACAGGGAGGCCCAGTGCTAAATGAAGATGACTTCAATCGTGACTGGCTAGACTGGATGTACACATTCTCACGAGCTGCAATTCTCCTTAGCATTGTATATTTCTATTCTTCTTTTAGTCGGTTTATCATGGTAATGGGAGCCATGCTGCTGGTTTATTTGTGAGTGATGTTCATTAACTGTTTGTGGTTTCTTTTAATTGCATTCTAAAATTGTTCAGCATAGAATCTACATAGGGTAGTTATTGCTATGAATGTTTAGTGAAGGATTGTGAATGCTGGGTTTCATGAATCTGGCATGTTTCTGAGACCAAAAGCAGAGGGGGGTTATATTGAGTAAGAATATTTATCAGAATTGTTTAAAAGCAGAGTTTTGTTTACTGTATTTTATAGAAATTATTAATTCAGCAACAAATGGACTTTAATTATTTAGAACTTGAATTGTCTGATGAACTCTGGTATAAAGATGTCCTCTTAAATTACACTTATGAATCGGAAGTTCAATAGATACAGGTCATAAGTAGACTGGTTTTCCCTTGCCCCTTTTCTCTCCAAAAGGGCAAGCAAATATCTAGTTGTATTTCATTTTGAAAAGTGCCCAAAAGATTTTGCAATTCCTGATATGTCTTAGTATGCTAAACAACCAGTTAAGAGCATAATTGACTTTGAATTGGGTTGTGTTTTGCTGTTACTGCTTTGATAAGAGTAGTTTTCATCTATAGTAGTTTCACTCATTTTCTCTTGTAGGAGACTAATGTTTTATAGTATTACAAAGGAAAAACAATTATGACTTATTTTCTTTTCTCTTTATTTTACTGAACAGACACCAAGCTGGATGGTTTCCTTTTAGGCAAGAAGGAGGTCAGCAACAGGCTCCCAACAATGTCGAAGTTAACAATGATGGGCAAAATGCAAATAATCTAGAACTTGAAGAAATGGTATGTTGTTGAGGTTTTTGTAGCCCCTAAATATTGGTATGCCCTTAGCACTGTATGGGACCAACATGATAAAAGAATCTCAGATGCTACCTTAGTATTTGTGGTAGGGCACGTGAAGAAAGGCTAACATGAATTATGGTGGTTTCATCTGGGAGAAGTTAGAATATAATAATGAATTAGTCATATATTGGAATTAAGTGGGAAGAATTAGCATTCTTCCTAAAAATAGTCTAAAAAGAAAATTATGCACCTGGTGAGAATTTATTGAATTACTTTGGCAGTTGTCCCCTTTAAACTTAGGCACCAAAGGATTTGTTAATTTTGGACTTCATAAAAATTTTGAATGGCTATGCCTCTACAGTCTCTTCCATATTCCTTCTTTCTACACAGAAGAACCTAACTCTGTCCTTTTCTATTGTGAGTTGATGTTAGTGGTTTAGATCACTCAGGTGAATGTTTCTTGTTTGATTGAAAGGAGCGCCTTATGGATGATGGGCTTGAAGACGAGAGTGGAGAAGATGCAGGTGAAGATGCCAGTGCAATTCAAAGGCCTGGATTAATGGCTTCCGCTTGGTCTTTTATCACCACCTTCTTTACTTCACTAATACCAGAGGGGCCTCCCCAGGTTGCCAATTAGACCTGAAAAAACTGTGCCAGCTGTAAAAGAGGGTCTGACTTTAGGAAAGTGATTTAAATAACAGTGCAATTTCAAAAAAATTTATAACTTTCTTTTGATCATCATGTACAGAGGTGTTCTTTTCTTTGAGCTTCTCATGCATATGAATATTTTAAGCACAAATGGACTACTAAGTGTATGATTTTTTTTTTTTAAAGATCCTAACAGAACATAGCATAACAATCTTGGTCTTCCAGGTTTTATTCATTTCAATTATGTGTAGTATATCAAGACAGAACTATTTGTGCGTCTTCTTTAAAGAGCTGCTTCACCTATAAATATCTATAGCTAGTAGACCAGCCCTCCAATGTGTAATTTGAATAAATATATCTATTTTCTGTGAATTATCTTGAAAGTTTTAAACAGAATGACCTCATAGTTTTTAATAAAGAATATTATTTACCTAAAATGTGCTAGTAGCATTTTGCCCAGCCATAAAGCAATAAACTTCTCACTGATCTTAATTTTGACATTTGAATAAATGATGGAAACTTTCTATTTTAAGGGCATGTACCCATTAGTTGGAATTAGTACCTAAAAGAAAAAAAAGGCAGCTCTTCAGTGGAATTAACAGTGATACAAAATGTTTGATACAGGCCGTACTTTTATAAAATATGCTGGAAATTGCTCCCTGTAATTTTTTAAATAAAAAAAGTCAATTCTGAATTATGATCAACAGTCTTATGAGATAATTTGTTCAAATTCTTCAATAATGTAGAAACGTCCATGCAGAAATCTATATACATTTCGGTACTTGTTTAGAAGTCTTCTACCTCAGGTGGATAGCTCTTCGTCCTTAGGTAGTCTGAAGCTGACAGAGTGTGCCGTGGATGAGATCTGAAGGCATGGCTAGGGTGGGGGAAGGAGTGGGAAGAGATATCATATGATTAATGCTCCTTCATAGGTGAGGCAGCATTGTGGGGACGCCGCTCAAGGAAATGAGCAGGTTCCTGCATCCTAGCTGCAGGCTTGGCCCTGAGGAAGATGCTAGTCTTAGGTTCCCCAGTGACAGGGTATGGCTGAGGGTTCTAAGAACACTAGGAGGTATTGTTACTTTTAATTATTTTCCCTGTGTTGTTAATTTCCTCACGTTAACCTTGCTTTCAGTAAGTCTTTGTCAAAAACTATAGTCCAGTGTCAGCTGTGTTTTGGATCATTTGGCAGGAGCTGTGTTCAGACTGGGACCAGATGGTGCGAAGGTGGCTGTGGTTGCTTGAAGATGATTTCCAGATGGCAAAATAGAGCAGCACAGAAGTCCAGACACTGGTCTTAAGGCCAAATGGTGACTGGCGACAACCAGGATATCTGTTTCTGGAATATAAATGCTTCTTAGTACTTCTAACTTTCCTTACACCTCACAGTAGGATGATGCTTTCTGCAGTGCAAGATTATGTTAGATGGATAATCTCACATATGTTGGAGGGCTGGAGAGTTGGAGACATTTGCTCCACAGTTTGGTGGCATCGTATAATACTGCAACCCCTTAGTACTCTAACTAGTTTCTCTCACTCTTTCTACCATCACTCCTGAAATTAGGATTTTTAGATTGGTGGAAGAAAAGACCTTGTTTGGAGCCTCATTTGTACAGTGCCAGTGGAAGTTTGGGCCTCACAGTTAAAAGACTAAAGTGTGCTGACTTACCCGTCAACTTTTACTCTGTTTCAAGTCAGACTTTAAGGCCTGTTGCATCTGGAATGGTGGTGCCAGCTCTGAACTGGGTCAGATTCTGGCAGGTGGTGTTCTCAACTACTAAGTTGTTTGGGAGGCAGATGTGGCCAGCTGGTTCATCTCTGCAGGTGGCAATACCAGCATCGCAGGCTTGAACTGCAGCCTGGAAAGTGGTGGCAACCTGCTGCACAGTGGGTACAAAGCATATTTATTGTATCTTATATCTCATACATTAATGATACTATAGATGTTTCAATATTCAGATGTTTGAAAACATTTAAATGGAAGATTTTAAACAAAAGAAATCCATACTACTGCTTCTCTGCTATGGCACGAATAGAAGTCTTTTCTTTAAAAATACTATGGAGTCTTTAACAAAAAGGGTTTTCTTATAAAAAGAGTAGGGAGTAATTACTCAGGGTCGTTTCAGAGCCTTGGGCTTTGCTGGCTAGGATACTCAGGACTTGGAAGCTTTGCCCAAGCACAGTGAGGCCTCAGAGAAGCCCTGAAGACCTGTCTCCCCTTCTAGAGCAAACCCCAGTGGTTGCAGCTATCCCCACTTTACTCTTGAGAGGTACACCCTGGAGGCCCCAGTCTTGGGGATCAGTGTTGTGAGTCATCCTGTCAAAGTTTATTTCCTGATCCTGCTTCCAAAATCTGGCTCTTTCCCCGAACTGGTCTGCTTTCCGAAATGGGCACACTGCTCATAAGGTGTGTGCACCAGCTTAAGCCATCTCACATGACTGTCCCAGACCACAGAGGGAGCAAGTGGGAAAACTGTGACCCATGTATGTCTTTGTCAGTCACCACCCCTTACAGAGAGGTTGCTGTCAGCCATCCTGTCCAATTACATGGCTGTAAAAATGATTTAACTGGAATGCTTTAAGACTATTATTGATGCTCAAGCATTTTTGTCATATTTTTGCCCTATGCTAAGTGTATACCTGCATTTAAAAAAGTCCTTAACACAAGGTAGGTGCCACTGTCTCTCTTCCAGAGGACACCAAGGCTTAATGAATAGCTTGCTTATAGTCTCACAGCTAGTATGTGGCAGAACTGAGATTAGAACCTGTCTTTTTTTTTTTAGTGGTACTGGGGCTTGAACTCAGCTTCACACTTGCAATGCAGGTAATCTGTAGAACCCATGTCTATTCTCCTTTTGACCTTGAACTCTTTAACATTAATTACACAAATAAGACATGGGGAGTTGGCTTTGATCAAAGGGTGATAAGGTTGTTTTGCACCACCGCTGCTGCTAAATTAGAAAAGCTGGAATAACACTTCAGTAGAATGCATCTGGGGCTTTTGAGAAAGCAAGGACCATTATTCCAGAGATATGAGCCCTGCAGGTGGTAGTTTCCCCCTCAAGGCACTTGCTAATTCAAGGGCAGTAGGTGAGAAGCAGAGCAGAAATTTTGGAAGACTCATAGAGAACAAAAATAGAGTTTAGGATCCAAGTCTGAGCATCTTTGAATTGTCTTAAAATAGTGAAGGTGCTAATTTAGTTTTTTTTTATTGTTTTATTATTCATATCTGCATACAAGGCTTGGGTCATTTCTCCCCCCTGCCCCCACCCCCTCCCATACCCCTCACTCTGCCCCCTCCCTCTCCCCCCCCAATACCCAGCAGAAACTATTTTGCCCTTATTTCTAATTTTGTTGTAGAGAGAGTATAAGCAATAATAGGAAGGAACAAGGGTTTTTGCTGGTTGAGATAAGGATAGATAGCTATACAGGGAGTTGACTCACATTAATTTCCTGTGCGTGGGTGTTACCTTCTAGGTAAATTCTTTTTGATCTAACCTTTTCTCTAGTTCCTGGTCCCCTTTTCCTATTGGCCTCAGTTCCTTTTAAGGTATCTGCTTTAGCTTCTCTGTATTAAGGGCAACAAATGCTAGCTAATTTTTTAGGTGTCTTTTTGACAGTACTGGGTTTGAACTAAGGGCCTCATGCTTGCTAGGCAGGTGCTCTACCACTTAAGCCACACCCCTAGCCCATTTTTTGATTTAGTTATTTTTCAGATAGTGTCTGGTGCTTTTTGCCCAGGGTTGATCTCAGACTATGATTCTCCCACCCTCCTATCTACTGCTCCTGTGTACCTAGGATTATAGGTGTTCACCACCATACCACCTTGTTTGTTGAGAATAGAGTCTTGATAATGTTTTGCCTGGGCTGGTCTTAAACTGTGATCTTCCTGATCTCCATCTCCCAATTACCTGGGATTACAGGCATGTACCACCACTCTCAGCCTATAACTGCTAATTTATATTAGAAATTAATAAAGTAGGATGCATGATTCCATTTCTGTGGTGTTTTCTAAAAGAATAAAAGAATGCAAAACAAGAAAATAGCAAGGGAATACAAAGTAAGGCATGAAAGGAGAAAAAGGAACATAGAACAAATGAAAAACAAAATTGTAAGAGGTTGATTTAAACCCCAAAGCATCAATATTTACATCAAGCATCCATAAGCACTCCAATTGAAAGACAATATTGTCTGCTTGGATAAAGAACAAATGTGGAATGCTCTGATCTTTAAAAATGGCACAGCTTAAATATAAGGAAACAGAAAATTTTATAAGGATGAGAAAAGACCTATCATGCAAGTATGAACCCAAAAAAGCAGTGTGTTCAGTAAAGATAGACTTCCAATAACAAGAATAAGAGGGTTATTTTATAATAAAGGGTTCATTGTGGCAGGAATATGCATCCTCCTGAGGTAGTGGAACTGATTTTGCTGCTCGGAAAGGTGCCCACTGTACTGTCTTACCTTCGAATGGTCAGAGGAGCCCTGCTCAAAGTATTTGGAGAGAGGGAAGAGAGTTTGGTGGCATTCAAAATAAGGCAGTCAGCGCCAGAGTCCCTGCTCCAATCAAGGACTGGTCAGGCTTTTGGATAAACATTATACCTATCTAAGTGTCCCTTCAATTTTGATGGCTTCAGGTTGTAATGAGATATTTCAGTATACAAGAGGGTAGAGCAGAGGATGAGAGGGAACATGTGGTTTTTGGAGCCTCCTATGAGCCCAGCACTCACTAGTGTGTTTAGCCACATTTTAAATAAGACAAAAACAGTGTCAGGAGTGTCTAGTGACTGAGGTACAGGGAGAGTGAGGAGGGATTATCTGACTCCAATAATTCTCTCAGTAAGCCACATTGGCTTGTCACACCAGGAAATTAGAGTGAGTTTATTAAATCTTGGTATGTTGCGTCTTCAAGGTCCATGAACTTCTGCAGGTCTGACTGGACCGGCAGGGATAGATGTCTGCACTTCCTTACTTTCGCACTAGGGGGTGGTGTAACTCCATATTTCTGCTGCAGGCCCAGGACAAAGGTTACTTCAGGGTTTGGGGATGCTGGGATTTTGTTGTTTTGTTCTGGAGGCAAGGTCTCACTGTTTGGCACATGCTAGCCTCAAACTCCTGATCTTCCTTCCTGTGCCTCCCAAGTGCTGGGATTACAGGTAGGTACCACCATGCCTAGCAACTTTTTTAACTTTAAAAAATGAACTTTTAATTTTAGAACAGCTTTAGAACAGTAACAGAAATTTCAAAAATCAATACTGAGAGTTACTGCATACCCTGAGCCCCATTTCTCCTGTTATCAGCTTACATTACTATGGGGGACATTTGTTGCAACCAGTGAATCAGCAGTGATACATTATTTTAAACTATATTGAATACTTTATTCAGTTTTCCTTAGTTTTTGCCTAATGTCCCTTTTCTGTTCCAGGATTGCCTCCCAAGCTGTATTAAATTTGATTCCCATGTCTGCTTAGTCTACTCTTAGCTGCAGTAGTTTCTCACACCTTTTTGTTTTTGGTGACTTTGACCATTTTGGGGAGCACTGGTCAGGTATTTTACTGGATGTCCCTGTATTTGGAATCTGGCAGGTGTTTTTACCAGGATGAAAACATATTTCTAAGAGAAAGACCACAGAGGTGAAGTGTCATCTTCATCACATCGTGTCAAGGGTATATACTCTCAACATGATGTCACCGTTGATCACTAGCTGAAGCGTCGGGTTTCACCACTGTGAAGTTATCCCCACCCTGCTTTCCACACCATCCATGGAAGGAGTCACTATGTACAGCCCCCACTGAAGGAGCAGGGATTTTCCCTCCACCACTTTGAGGATGGTGTGTCTACATAATTTAAATCCCTCCACATGGGAGGTTTTTTTCTGTTTGTTAATTTGCTCTTTTATTGGTGATGGTATGGACTCATGGCTATCTTACACCTTGGGTTTTAGTCCAGTACGACTTTATTGTTAAAGTTGTTTTAGCTTTGGCCATTGGAAGATTTTCAGGGTGGACAGTCCGAACATTGAACCCTAGGCCTCATGCATGCTAGGCAAGTGCTCTACCACTTGAGCCAGGCCCCCTGTACTTTTGTGTTTTCATTTTGTTTTTAAGACAAGTTCTTGTGCATCTGTCATAGCTCACATTGAACTCCCATACTCTTGCCTCTGTTTTTGTAGTTGGAAGTATGGGCATGAATCACCATGCTGGACTCCACTGGGAGATCTTAAAATCAGCAACCGCCTCTCTTTGATAAACTCCCATCATTGAAATTATTGTGGTTTTCCTTTTGGGCAATTCCTTACTTACTGGCTTCCAGGTTGCGTACTTTCTGCTCTAGTCCTAAAATCAGTCATTTCAGGGATAGTGGAGTGCCTACCTAGTAAATGTGAGGTCATGAGTTCAAACCCTAGTACCAAAAGACAAAAACAAATTCACTAAAATTGGTCATTTCTCCAGTGAGCTTGGGGGAAATGTTTGTTTTCTTGATTACAGTTAGGACTTTTTTCTGTGAGGTAAGTTTACTATGGCCCAATAGCAAAAGGGCCAAACATTTTGTAGTATTGTGAAAATTAGTTGCATTATTCCTTCTGTATTTTTGCATATAAGAACCTTTAATTGGAATTTTATTTAATTTTTTGGTGCTGGGGTTTGAACTCAGGGCCTCATACTTGCTAGGCAGGTGCTCTACCATTTGAGCCATACTCCCAGTCCAGAGAAGCTGTAATTTAAAAAATGGTGATAAAAGGAACATATCTGAGAATTCTACCAATAGACTTTTTATCTTGAATGAGCATGATTTTTGTGTGATCAAAGATAACCCTCTTTGTTTTTATTTTGTAGAATTTCACTTTTTGTAGGAAAGAATGAAATAAAAGAGGAAGAAGATCTGGGGTCATTGGTGAGTGCTATGTGGGACCAGCCCCTCCCTGTGGCTGACCTCATGGCCTGAGATTCTGTAATGGCATTCCACCCCTTTGTGCATCTGTTCCACTGCCCTCTCACTACAGGCTTGTCTCAGTTCTTCCTCTACTTGGTAGGTTTTTACTGTTCTCATAGTATATTAATAATCTCTGCCAGCCATGACCCCTCACCATCCCGATTCTGCCTCATGGCTTGGCCATATGCATTTTTGCAGTGAGCTCCTGTTATTGGCTGCTGGACTCTTCCTGTGTTTCCCAGTCCAAACCCCTAGAAAAAGAAATGATTGACTCAACACCAAATCTCTTGGCAGACAACGTCCCTTGCCAAAAGCATGTGTGTAACCTGGTTGCCCTGGATTAGTGCCAGCCTGTTTATTACCTGCTGTCTGAGTTGGTTCACTTAGTGAAACCCTTTCAGCGCAGGCCCCAGCACCCATAACATTGCACAGGGCAGTGGGTGTGGGGGTCCCCTGTTCCTAACTTGTCGTGGAGAAGCAGAACAGCCAAAATAGAGGTGTTTAGAGACCTCAGCAGAATCAGAAGGGCCTAGCTCTTTGGTAATAATACCACCAGTGTTTGTACAGATTTTGAAGTTTGCTGCTTCTCTACATAATCATGATCATTTGTGTTTGTCTCAGCAATACGTACTCTACATTGTGGTTCTCTTTCCTTGGGCCTCTCTTGGCCCAAAGTAGGGACCATGTCTCATTGTTGTGATAACCTTAGTATGGACCTTACAGCTAATATACCAGAAGTAGCTATTACATGTAAGAATAAAACAATTGATACTACATTTTTGAATCCAACAGCTGTTATTACTGTTTTACAACTGAGGAAAGTGAGGCTCATTTACGGAACAGGAAGCCACCAGATTAGATGACTGGGTTCCTGTGGCTCATTCCTCTTACAAAGCTGTGTTCAGAAGATATCCAGTATGACTCTTTTCTTTCCCATCACACTGCATGTCTTTCTGTTCTTTCCAGAAACAAGCACCAGAAGTCACTCCTGAGCTTCTGGGTCCTCTGGGTGTTCTGAATCCTGCTAGCGTGGACAAACTTGTTGGAGGATGCTATGCTTTGGCTGTGGTTTGAGTGTATTCTCAAGGGAACATGCACTGGGAGCTTGGTCCCAAGTGCAGTGGTGCTTACAGGTGGTAGCATCTTTACGAGGTGGGGCCCAGGGAAAGGCCACTCCCACTGGGGAGCTACCCTCT